AAAGTATAGGGAAATTTCGAGGAATAATAAAATTTACAAGTGTTAATGATTAGATCTTTATTTTTCTAATTTTCATAATACGATTAATCCAATCTTCAATTAGTTTTGAAGTTTGGATTGTATTGGATATCTTAAGTACAATTAATCCTAATCGCGTATAAAACGTTCAACAATATTACTCTTTATTTAAAAACTAATCAGTCATACTCCATATACTCCTAAAAGTATTTCAGTCGTTACAGTCATGCAAATCAACTTAAACGCTGATCAGAGTTTTGTTAAAAATTTGAGTTATTAATAAGAATGAACAAAAAAAAAAAAATATTCTAAACAAATTCAAAAAATCTCGCACGTGCTTCTAAGTGGCAGTTAGTCGTTGAGAATATTAAGAATTATTGTATTTGAACGAGCAAAAGTAGAAATTTTAATACAGAAAAAATAGATAGATAGTTCTTATTTTATGATCCTTCATAATACGTATTTTTGGCTTTTAAAGAACTTTATCTTGTTTGTTTCATTCATTTGATTTGTTATCATGATAAATTTCAAATTGCAAGTGATCGTATTTATAAATTCCTCATTTTGATTTTGAAACTTAATTTTGCTCGATCAAACTTAACTCTTTCCTATAACAATCGATATTCAACAGTTTTCATGTATCGCCTTGAATGAAGAATTCTACAGTAATCCTAACATACAATGATTCTACAGTAATTCTTCTTTCAATATTCTTATGTATATATTTTAAACAAAGATAGTTAAAGATAATATCGTGTTGAAAATTATTGTATAAAAGTGAATGTAATTAAAATATATACATATATTTTATTATTTATAACTAAAAAATTTGATTATATTATTTTTATAATCACATCCTAGTTATATTTCCTTAAAAATATTATATAAAATCCTAAAATTTGGTTTCATTTTATATGAGCAAAGATCATATTCTGATGATTAAGAAAATATTGCTTTTTTTTTAAATTTTCTTCCTGTTCTTTTAAATCTTATTATAGGTATGATAAAATCTCTGAAGCATTTCTTCATCCAATACTTATGTAGATTACAAAGATTACTAGATTCATCTGTTATAATATCGATTATTTTCTCAAAACTTATTGCTCGTTTGAATTCTCATTTCGACTTTCTACTTTGAATTCATTGCTTCACTTAATTTGAAATTATTGATATTATTTGATTTAATACAGTCGAGTCGTTTTCTTATTGTATCAATCCATTGTGATTTCTCATTGTATTTCTCTTTTTTATTCGCATTATAATTTCTTGGAAACTATTTGGATACAATGAAATTAAATTATTAAAATTAAGATGAAATATAAGATATTGCTTATCATATAGAGAGCTCAATAAAAGATTGGAAAAATTGATATGTATGAATAGTTATATTGCTATACTTTGTACTAATATGAAAAATGGAAATATGTTTTACATATGTAAATTTTCCAAGAAATACAATTTTCTAAGAATTGGGAAATGAGCAAGACATATATATATATATACATGTTATTGTTAATTAATGAGCACTAATTAACAAAATTCAAATTAGTCATAATTAATTTAATGTTTTTATAATTACATACTGTGCGCATAAAAAAACAATGTATTGAAGTTTATTTATAAAAAAAGTAATTATATTATGAAGAAAATTGATATACCAAGAGTTTGAAATATAATTGTATAAGGTTACAATTTTAATATATTCTGAATATATTAATTAAAATAATTTTAAAAAAAGAATCATTAAATCACAATGGATTAAAGTACAATAACCAAGAAGATTCACTCATGCATCCACTTGCATACTTATATAGGGCATCCAAAATATCATGTTCTCTTATATCGTATAATAATTTTCAGATACAAAAATAAACTTCATTTAGCTCACGAGAATATATATGAAAAAGAGTGAAACAAAATAAAAACATCTCTTTTCAAACTTTAAAGAAGAGTATAATAAATGAGTAGAAGAACGAAAAACATGGCGAATCAATAAAATAAAAGTTCTCATGATCTATTGAATGCTCGTCGCAAAGGAAAACATTATACTTTAAGCGTAGGATTAAAGAAATTAGCGTATCTACGTATCTTCTATCTAGCTTCTCACTCGCGTGCATTCTCATATGAGTTCATGTTACTCCTAAATTATTCTAAAAAAATTTCCCGTAAGATCTAAATGTTTCTTTGAAATCGAATCTCCATCTATTGAACACAACACTCGTTCTTTTTTTTTTCTTTTTTTTTCTTTTTTTTTTTCTTTTTTCCTCCCCTTTCTCTTAAGAATAATATAATTTCTCCGTAGCATAGCCCCGTAGCTTGCTCATTTTA